GATGAAGGTTCGAACCTGAGCTCTGAGTGCTGCCAGCCAACGCTCTGAACCACTACACCACCACATGGTCTATATAAGCCCTGCAACCTGGGATTCTTCTGAATCCTCGAGGGTTACTGAGGCTTCCATTAAAGACTAATCAGGGGTTTCACACATTTTTGGCTCCTATTGATTTACTGTTGTTCATCCAGTCGGGGAAATGACCGGATCTCTCACATGAAACACAGACTATTTTCACGGCATTTGGGTTTCTCAGAGTAAATAATTTCAGTTGGCATTTAGCTATCTTCTCTATACAGAGAAATCACATGATTTTTTTTAAATTTCCTTATTAAGACCACTCAATAGCTCGGTCGATAGAGCTTCGGCCTCACACACATGGGGGCCCCGGTTCGAGTCTCCTAGAGTCCAGGTCAATGGGCACATTATTTTTTTTTATCTTCTGTATGCTGAGGAAGAACTCTAATAGAGTAAGGCAAGGGAACTATCAGAGGGAAAGTACCAAGCCATTATGACTATATATAGCACCGGGAGGGAATGATGCCCAACCACTTGGACGGTCGGGGGATTGAACGCTGACCTGTATGAAGGGAGACCGTCGCTCTACCGTCCAGCCCATAAGGCGAGCCAGAGGAAGGAAGAGTGGATACATTATGCTTCGTAATTTGCTTGACTGTCATAGAGATACCCTTAGTGTCATTATTTTAATATGCCACAATATTTGCTTTCAATTATAATTTAAGTTCTATAATCGCTTTCAGAGTTGCTAGCTTAAGTTTGATCCTGAAAGATTACCTCGTTGACAGTAAGTCTGGGCTCAGTAGATGATGCTGTCTCTCATCTCGTCTAGGATCACGTAGCATCCAGTACTGGGCCCGCCTCTCTCTCTCTCTCTCTGTCCCTATCAACGCATTGATGCCATCTTCCCTCGCCTCGAAAATAAGCTCGGTCTAGACGCTGACCTCAACGGCATTCGAACGACGAAGTTCCACCAGAGATCACATAATTCGCCCGCGATAGAGCAATCATCCCGCCAAAGTTTCCAAGCGGCCTACATTGCCTCCCATTTTCTACAACTTCCGACAATTTCTTTAGGATTCCTTTTGTCGGCGAGCGGGTTATCTAAGGTAATCCTGAGGATATCCAGGACTCAAGGCAAGCCTATCAAGACATATTGATGGTCGCAATGCTGGCGCTTAAGATATTCCAATGGTCCTTGTGAGAATATTCCTTTAGGGTGGTGTTGCTAGGGGTTACTGTTCCTGGTTCTGGGGGTCACTGTAGATGATTTTGGGTCACTGTACATGCTCCTGAGTCACTGTACATGCTCCTGAGTCACCGTACATGCTCCTGAGTCACTGTACATCCTCCTGAGTCACTATACATGCTCCTGAGTCACTGTACATGCTCCTGGTTCACTGTACATGCTCCTGAAATCACTGGTTATAGCCATGTTGGTGATGACCGGGTTCCGGTGACCCCAGCTGGTCGACCGGTAGCTCTGATCTGGTGTACAGTATTTACTTAGTCAATTCCCCAGTTACATATATCAGAGACATGCGTCAGTGCGTCTTATTTTATCAGTACGTCAGTGCGTCCCATTTATCCCGCACGGATCCCATTAGACTCGTGTTAGGGACCACGTGTTAGGGGACCACGTGTTAGGGGCCCCACGTGTTAGGGGGGTCATGTGTTAGTGGGCATTGCGCTAGTGTGCTCACGTCAGCAGAGTGACACTCCGGTTCATCACCACAGCGAAGTTTAGCAATTAAACTTTGTCATGGGAGATGACCCACGTCCTGATGGGTTGGTGGGGCTTCCGGAGGGTGGATGATCGGTGTGTGTGTGTGTGGTCACTCTGGGTCACGCTCCCAGTGCATACACGCGCACACACACACACACACACACACTCACACACACACACACACACACACACACACACACACACTCACACACACTCATACACACACTCAAAAAAACACACGCTCACACACACACACCCTCACACACTCACACACACACCATAAAAGTATTTGTATGTACGTCTGATACCATACTACTTGTGAAGGAGGAAATGTATATGTTTATCTCTCAGAATGTTTGGTAATATGTTTATTGTTTGTGATGTGTGTCTATGTATGTATTAACACGATGTACTGAACGGGGTGAGAATAGCTTGAGCTACCTCATCCCTTTGTGTATTTTACACCAATAAACTTATTTCAATTCAATTTCAATTCCTCACACACACAAACTCACAAACACACACGCTCACACACTCTCTCACACACTCTCTCCCTCTACACACACACACACACACACACACACACACACACACACACACACACACACACACACACACACACACACACACATACACACATCTAGTCAAATACAAAACGAAATTAGAAAAAGTTCATAGGTTTGCCAATAGATTTGTCCCAGAAAGGTATGATTTATGAGGAAAGAATACAGGAATTAAACCCTCATGTCACTGGAAGACACAAGAGTTAGGGAAGACATGATTACCACCTACAAAGTTCTCAGAGGGCAATAATAAGGTACACCAGAAGAACAGACTATTTACCAGAGGTGACACTCGCACAAAGGGGGACACCGATGGAAACCTAGTACCCAAATGAGCTACAGAGATATTAGAAAGAATTGTTCAACGTCAGAGTAGTTAGCCAATAAATTACGCTAAGAAGAGAAGTGAGGGAAGCAGGCGTCTTCCAACACTTCAGCAGATACAGAGTCTTAAATGTAGTTATGACAGAACCCAACAGAACAAATCCACAAGGGCCGTGACGAGGATTCGAACCTGCATCCGGGAGCATCCCAGACACTGACACTACCCAACAGAGCTCTGGAACCTATACTTGAGTCAACTAAGAGTTGAGAGGCGGGACCCAAGAGCCCGCAAATACATCTAGGTGAGTACTGAGCACCACAAAGATCTAAATTCTTCCTGCTTCTCATTCTAGACGCAGCATTTCTCAGTTAAAAATGGCTTATTCCCCTACACACGAAATTGGTTTCTCTAATCTACGAGGCAGTATATGTTCTTCGGTGGAAGGCCTTTTTGGCGTTTGTAAATTGGAGATATGTTATATTGTATATTAGACGTGAATTGTCTGAGCTGTGAGGGCTGAGGAGTGAGGACTGGCTGAGGATTGAAGACTAGTTTCAAAGTTTGCAACATGTGAACACTTGCCATCAGCCAGTTGCACATAATACAATCCCGGATGTTTGTGCTATAGAGTCGGTGCACAGCGCGTCCTCTCGAGTGGTCACAACGGCCAGAAAGCGATGTACTAAACTGCCCGAACCGAAGATGGGCCCGTATTTAGAACACGTGAATGTCTGTGAGCTGTCAATTCTACTCAAATTTTACGAATACAAGACTGAATTCAATACATAAAATCCCAAGTGAGCCTCGAACAAGTGACTGACCACAAGAGTGGCTGAACATCAGAGTGTCTTCACCGGCATTATCTGACAGTCAGTTGTCAGCAGTCAGCTCCAAATACCAGTCCCTTCGCAGGTGTTCCCTTCCGGCCCTCCCTCGCTGTCAGCTGTCATCAGTCAGCTCCGAATAACAGACCCCTGTAAGCGCCCAATTATGCAGTTCAGCGAACCAGTCCTGCCGTGCCCTGTTCCACATCACACACACACACACACACACACACACACACACACACACATATATATATATATATAGAGAGAGAGAGAGAGAGAGAGAGAGAGAGAGAGAGAGAGAGAGAGAGAGAGAGAGAGAGAGAGAGAGATAGAGAGAGAGAGAGAGAGAGAGAGAGAGAGAGAGAGAGAGAGAGATAGAGAGAGAGAGAGAGAGAGAGAGAGAGAGAGAGAGAGAGAGAGAACGGGAAGGAGTCAAGGAACTTTTGTGACTTCAAGACATTATTGTGTGAGGGTGTCCCGCGGGGCGTTATGTGATGCTTGGCGTGACAGAAGGAGCGTGGAAGAATGCAAGATAGAAGAAGTAAGAAGTAAGAAGAGGAAAAACGGAGGGAGAATGTGGGGAGATGGAAAGAGGGATGAAGAGATGGAGAGAATAACGGTGGAGGGAAAATGAGGAAGTAAGGAGAAGGAGGAGAAGGGAAGGAAGTACACAGATCAATATACGTGGAAGTATAATTAGCAATTATGAAATAAAGTATAAATATGCGAGAGAGAGACGCAGTATGAGAGCACATGCTCATCTTCCACCCACAAATTTATTTGCCATTGGTTTATTTTACATGAAACTTTGTTAAATAAAAGAGGATACAACAATATCTACATTCAAGGAACAAAGTTGGTTGTCACAGACTGTCGAGTTCCTCCGGCTCCTCAGATGATGGGCAGGTACCATGAATGTCGTGCGCATTTCCCCTCTGTATTGCCACGCTGAGGCGCTGGCGGTTCTAGGGTCCTCTGTCACTTTTAACCCCCCATATGCCACATGTTTTTGAAGCTTTGGGCACAAGACTGTACGGGTGATGGATGTGACCATTGACACACTGTGGGTGGCAGCACCACCCAGATGTGCAATGTAGAGGTTAGCCAGGGTTGATACCCATGTATGGACCCCAACCAATAGTTTACCACTCCCTGAACGGCACTGTGATTCCATCTGGGCGACCAGCAGAATTGAGAGGGTTACGGGGGGGGGGGGCTGTGGGTTACTTGGCTCTCTCTCTGCTGGACACTCAGCTATGGTAAGGCTCCTCTTAATGATGCGGTTAATTTCACTGTGCCTCGAGTGCATTTTCCCTGTACTTAGGCAGAGCAGGTCACGCTGGTCGTCCCTGCTGTCCACCACCTCGCTGCAAAGACATTTTACAATTACATTCGCTGTGGATAGCGGCAGCAAGGTGGAATGAAACTA